GACAGAAATCTTCATACTCATCGCCCTGATGATGGAGGCAGTATGACCTCTGAAACGTTGGTTAACATCTACCAGACTACACAGCGCAACAACCCAGAAGACAGAAATCTTCATACTCATCATCCTGATGATGGAGGCAGTATGACCTCTGAAACGTTGGTAAACATCTACCATATTACAGCACAACAACCCAGAAGACAGAAATTTTCAGACTCACCGCCGTGAAAACCTCAAATCCTACATATCTTAATATCTTCTCGTCGGTCATTCAAGTTGACTCTTTCTAAAAGATTTCACTATTAAATTTCGGCACGTGTAACTTAATTATTCTTCATAACCCGAAGTTCTCCGTGTTTCGTTTTTCTAACATCCTAAGTCATCTGTCTAGTTTACCAAGTAATTCCCTGACAATGGTAGTCGTGATCACAACGCCCCTAGCACAAATTTAAGCCACCGAACGTGTTTCTACGCCATTTTCATCACCAAAATACTTCTCTGACATACCTCTTAATGTTATAATCCCATCTCTTTCATGGTCTTCAAGTGAACGTCCTACAGTAGGCTTTGCCTCCAAAATTATCTATTTATTTTTCTCATCTTCTAGTTACATGCCTTGCTAGTCTTAGTGCCTTTGATTTTAATATTCTAACAGTACGGTGTAACGTGTGTAAAGTGGAAGTTTCCTTCCATGTGACCCAATGTGGTCTTGTATGTTGATACGACCACCTACAAAATCACACGGTGTGGTACTCCACCACGAACGACATATTCACCGCCATGAGTACTTTAAATATCACATCTTCTGTAACACAAAATCCTCTCTTCATCCTTATTGGCTCAAAACATTTACTTGATTAACTAAAATACTTCAGTGTTTAAACTAGCTGGGTATAGTCCGGAAGACCGGGGTTCGATTCCTGTCAAGGCCAGCTCTGGGGATTACCCAGCCCTTACGTGACGGATACCAGCAACTTCCGCTCGTCAAACTGTGACATGAAGCCAATCGCTCACCTCCATTTAATAAATAAATTAAGAATTTATTGAGACATTTCCCCAGTGGTGGTTCTCAATTATGCAGAAGTTCGACTTTCTATCTGCAATAAATTAATATTTTGTGTTGAGTACAGCAAAGAACGTGCTGGAAATTTGTTCACTACCAATTCTTTGCCTTAATATTGCTTCTTATGAATGAGGGTTTCACTTTAATTTATAGGCTGTATGACAGTCCATATCCCTTTGTGCTGAAGAAGTGAAATATTTTTCGTTGATGTCCAGCCTCGAGCGGAAGACGACGGGGACAGTGTTATTACGCTCAGCGTCTCTTTTGTGTTAGCTGTGTGTTACAAACACTCTGTGCTATTAATCATCTGTTTGCCTTCTCACCAATCCTCTGTTACCGGGAGTTCTCTGCTGAGAGTTGTATCCATGGACCGTGGACGCACTACTTTCTTCGCATTAATCTACTTTAGGATGATGCTCTCGTTGTGTTGCTAAGGGATGCTTTGGTTTCATAGTCTGAATAACAAAATAAATCACTAATTTCAGGGATGCACACAGCGGAAAAAAAATAAAAACAAATTAAACTTAGGACCAAATTGTCCGAATTTTGTTTTATTCAGTAAATGGTAATTTATCTAATTCATTCCTCGTTGGAACAGTGATTATTCTCTTTGCAATCGCTCCCAGACCCCAGACCGATTCTGGGGTCAACCGATCCTCTTGTCTGTTCTGTTCTGTAGTCCTTGGTAACAAAATCTATTAATTTTGTCATAGCAAATTTGCCTTGAGCTATGTCATTTTAGGTAAAATTAATTAAGTCCAATCTGAGCTTCGTGTATTGGATCGTTACTAATGAATATTAAATTATTCGAATGCTATTAAGTGCGTTACTCCGTATGCCAAATTTAATGGAAATCCTTTAAGGAACATCGGCTATGGAACAAGCGATAGGACAGACAGACGAATTGAACTTCCCTATCGCGCTTTCTTCTGTGTATTTCTTGCTCCAAAAATGCATAAAAATATCATTTTAATGACATAAATAAGGATATTTGACTATATTGGAGATTACGTC